GAACTTGGTGGCGGGTTCTGCGCTCCAGGACGCGGGTGTTCACCAGTTCACCCCTGCCTACGAGCGTGTGACACACTGCACGTGTGCCCAGACGGGTCATCACCTGGCTACCTTCACCCCTCAGGTAGCGGTGTCTGCGTCTGCGTCAGGTCAGTTGTCCGCCCCCTGCTCGTGTCGCACCCTGTCGCACCGGACGGTCCTCTGGCACCACCGCCTTGGTCACCCTTCGATGCAGCACCTTCGTGGCATGCACTCTCGTTTCCTTGTCTCGGGTCTCCCCAGGTCACTGCCTCCCCTGCCACCGTCCCCGGCCCCTCCTTGCCTTCCCTGTGTCGAGGGGCGGCAGCGTGCCACCCCTCACTCCTCTGAATTTCCCTTGACAGAGGCTCCTCTGCAGACCCTTGACATGGACGTGTGGGGCCCAGCCCGCGTCCGTGGACAGGGTGGAGAGCCCTACTTCCTGCTGGTAGTGGACGACTACACGCGTTACACCACGGTCTTCCCCTTGCGCACCAAGGGAGAGGTCCCTGCTGTCTTGATCCCTTGGATCCGCGCTACCCGTCTCCAGCTGGAGAGGCGCTTTCGCACGGACCTTCCCGTCCTGCGACTGCACTCTGACAGAGGTGGTGAGTTTTCCTCCGGCCTCTTGGAGACCTTCTGTCAGGGGGAGGGCATTCGCCAGACAATCACGCTTCCGGCCTCTCCTCAGCAGAATGGGGTTGCTGAGCGCCGCATTGGCTTGGTCATGGAGGTCGCTTGTACCTCCTTGGTCCATGCGGCTGCCCCCCATTTCTGTGGCCGTTTGCGGTCCGGTACGCCGCGCATCAGCTAAACCTCTGGCCCCGTGTCTCCGTTCCGGAGACCTCGCCGACACTGCGTTGGACGGGAGAGGTTGGCGATTCGTCTGTGTTCCGGGTCTGGGGATCTCGTGCCTTTGTCCGCGATACGTCCGCGGACAAGCTCTCCTCCCGCGCCGTTCCTCGTGTCTTCCTGGGCTTTGTCACTGACGCGCCTGGCTGGCAGTTTTACCACCCCACCTCGCGCCGTGTCTTCCCTTCTCAGGACGTCACGTTTGACGAGTCGGTCCCCTTCTACCTTCTCTTCCCCTACCGCACTGCCCCGCTCCCCCCTCCGTCGCTCTTCCTCACGCCAGGTGCTGATGTGGTAGACCCCCTGCCTCCCCAGGGTCCAGCTCCCTCAAGTGATTCCCAGGTAGACCCGGTCGAGCCTGTCGAGGTAGCTGTCGACTCTGGTCCTGCGCGAGGTACTGAGCGTGCTGAGCCTGAGCGTGCTGAGCCTGGTGGTGCTGGGTCTGGGGGTACTGAGACTGGGGGTACTGAGCCTGGGGGTGCGGAGACTGGGGGTGCTGAGCCTGGAGGTGCGGAGACTGCGGGTGCTGAGCCTGGGGGTGCGGAGACTGCGGGTGCTAAGCCTGGGGGTACTGAGCCTGGGGGTGCTGTGCCTGGGGGTGCTGAGTCTGGAGGTCCTGAGCCTGGGGGTGTTGCGCCTGGGGGCGCTCTCTCTTCCCAGCAGCTGCGTGAGTCGTACTCTCGGTACTGTCGCCGCAGCCGTGGTGCTGTGGACGCTGGAGGTGCTACTGGAGCTGGAGCTGAGGACGCTGGGCCTACTGGAGTTGGTGTAGCTGCTGACCCTGGGGTTGGCGCTAGAGGTGCTGGAGCCACTGGTCCTGGAGGTGCTCGTACTGGCGGTACTAGAGCTGCTGGGACTGGGGGTGCTACTAGAGCTGCTGGAGCTGGTCCTGCTGGAGGTGCAACTGGTGCTGCTGGAGGTACTGGAGCTGCTGGAGGTGCTACTAGTGCTGGTCCTGCTGGAGGTGCTGCTGGTGCTGCTGGAGGTACTGAAGCTGCTGGTGGTACCGAGGGAGTTGGAGCTGTTGCTGGAGGCTCTGGTGCTGTCTCTGCTGGTTCTGGGGGCACTTCATGGCCACAGCCATACTTCGTTCCCCTCCTTCAGCAGGTTCTTGGTCAGCCGCCTCCTCCTTGTCCTGCTCCCTCCTTAGAGTGTCCTCCGCCTGTCCAGTCGCTGTCACAGCTACCGCCTGCCTCGCCACTCCCTGGTCCTTCTCCCTACACTGGTCCGACAGGAGGTCTTACGGTGCGTCGTGAGCCTGAGTCTCGTCCTGTGTCGCCTGAGTCTCGTTCTGCATCACCTGTTTGTGCTGCTCACACTGGTCGTCGTGTCCCGCGTCAGCGTCCTCCTGCTGTCCCAGGCACTCACCAGATGACGCTTTGTCCTTCCACTGCTCCACAGCGTGTCCCGCTGCCTTCTCCTCCTGCGTCCTCTCTTCCTGCCCTTGCTGACCCGGTGTCTGACTCTCTTCGTGCTGCTAGTCCTACTGTCACGCGTCTCCTGGCCACTGCTATCACTGACCCTTCTTTTGAGTCAGCTGCTGCGTCTGCCTTAGTTGCTGAGCTTGTCGACTTTGCTGCTCACTGTCGTCTAGACTACGCTGCGAGTCTTGTTGCTGAGTCTGAGTCTGTCTGTCCTCCGTCCGTCGGGGGTGAGTCTGCTCTTGGCAAGGACGTCCTTGAGGACATGCACGAGGACCTTGAGTGCTTTGCCGCCGCTGTACCTCATCTCGTGACCATGCTGATTGCACCTGAGGGAGACCCGGATGCTCCAGACATCCCGACCCCGCGCTCTTACGCTGAGGCGATCGCGGGTGAGTACTCCTCTCAGTGGCAGACAGCCATGGATGCAGAGATGGCATCCTGGAAGTCCACTGGCACTTACGTCGACGAGGTTCCCCCTCCTGGGGCGAACATCGTCAGTGGCATGTGGATTTTCAGGGTGAAGCGGCCGCCAGGTTCTCCGCCTGTCTTCAAGGCTCGTTACGTTGCTCGAGGCTTCAGTCAGCGAGAGGGAGTAGACTTCTTCCAGACCTTCTCCCCCACCCCGAAGTTGACCACTCTTCGGGTGCTGCTGCACGTTGCCGCTCAGCGTGACTACGAGCTTCACTCTCTTGACTTCAGCACAGCTTTCTTGCAGGGCAGCCTGCACGAGGAGATCTGGCTGCGCCGCCCTCCTGGCTTCACTGGGTCGTTCCCTCCTGGTACCCAGTGGAGCCTCCGGCGGCCGGTCTACGGTCTCCGCCAGGCGCCACGTGAGTGGCACGACACACTGAGGACTACACTTGCGGCTCTTGGGTTTGCGCCTTCTACTGCTGACCCGTCGCTTTTTCTACGCACCGACACTTCGCTGCCGCCGTTCTACATCCTCATGTACGTCGACGACTTGGTCTTTGCCACTGCTGACACTGAGGCTCTCGCCCTGGTCAGAGCACGTCGCACCATCACCCTGACTCAGTCACACATGGTGCAGCAGGTCCTTCAGCGCTTCGGCTTCACCTGGTCCTCGGCACAGGCCACTCCTCTGGCTACAGGTCACTCGCTCTCAGCTCCACCTTCGGACGAGTCCGTAGAGCCGAGTGGTCCTTATTCAGAGCTAGTTGGCTGCTTCATGTACCTGATGACTTGCACTCGTCCTGACCTCGCGTACCCTCTTGGCCTTCTGGCTTGCTACGTGGCTCCTGGTCGGCACCGAAAGGTGCACATGGATGCTGCTAAGAGGGTACTGCGCTACTTGTGCAGTACATCAGGCATGGGGCTCGTGCTTGGAGGGAGGAGCTCAGTTGTTCTCACTGGGCACTCAGACGCTTCTTGGGTTGACGACCAGGCTACTCAGCGGTCGTCACAGGGTTACACCTTCAGCCTTGGCTCTGGCTCAGTTTCTTGGCGTTCTACACGCTCGTCTTCTGCTCTCAGCTCCAGTTGTGAGTCTGAGATCTACACCACAGCCATGGCTGCACAGGAGTTACGCTGGCTCACCTACCTGCTGACTGACTTGGGAGAGCGGCCTCGTTCTCCTCCAGTGCTGTACGTCGACAACAAGGCTACCATTGCCTTGTGTGAGGAGCACAGACTGGAGCACAGAACGAAGCACATCGCTCTGCGTTACTTCCTGGCTCAAGAGTTGCAGCAGCGTGGTCAGCTTCGTCTGCGTTACGTGGCCACTCGGGCCAACACTGCTGATATATTCACCAAGGCACTTCAGTCTGGTGATCATCAACGTTTCTGCACTATGCTAAGGCTTGTGCCCACTTTTCCTCACCTGCCGTAGGCTTTGCTTGTACTGTGATCTATATATATACCTGCATGCTTGCTTTGCTAGGTAGAGATCACTGTGTTGTTTGTGTTGCATATATGCCTCTGCATGTGAACTGGCCTTGTGGCTCTTTGCTTGTGCTCAGAGTGTGTGGTGACGTTGTGATCCACCCTGAGCTTGCTTTGCCTCTCCTGACTGGTCTTGTGACCCCTTGCTCTCCCCCACTTTGCCTATGGGGGTGTGTCAAACGTTATATCTGCTACAGTTTGTTTAGGCTGTAGTGGGGTAGTCATTATGGGGTCAAATAAGTTTAGGGTTTCCTACATGTACCCAACTCTTTCCTAGTTCAATCACTCTTGTTGATTCTAACATGTGCAGTTGCTGCAGTGCGGGCATAGCAATGTGCTCGAGGCAATGGTGGGCTGTAGTCCAGTCCATTGCACCTCTCCTTGCTCAAACCTTCATCTTCTCAGCACCTACAGCGTTGCATCCCCCCTGAGCATCACTCCCTTTGCCCCAAGGCACCACCAGCAGCTGCCACATAGACCTGCAGATGTCCCTGGGTCTCGTGCTTGTGAACAGCCGAGATGCACATTATGCTAGGCGAGTTGGAGTCATGTCCCTTCGAGCTTCGGAACGCCTTAAAACTGAAGCCTTTCGCTCGGTACTTGCTAGATATGGGCTCGTATGTGTATGCCAGTATTTTTGTGTTGTGTGTGCGTGCGCGTGCGTGAGCAGCATATCGGCACTCGACCTACGAGGTGCACAACAAGCTGGGCGAGGTGGAGGACGTGATAGGCACGTACAGCGACGCTTTGCAGCAGAACAGCAGCAACACAGCGGCTGTCACGTGGCGCTCCATCGCGGCCCACCTCATGGCCAACCACCCTGTTTTCTTCCACGCGCTGCACCCCACCGCCACAGCAGACAGAGACGGGTTTCAGGTGCGTGGATGGGTGGTGATGGCGGGGCGGAGGTGGAACCCTGTGTGGCGATCAATGATGCGAGGATGGGAGCGGTTGCAAATCACCTCTGTCTGGGATGACCTGGTTGTCGTTTAAGTTTCTCTTCCGTCAATTTCTCTTTCCATGAAACAGAGCCTCCCACTTGTGGCCTTCATCACCGTTCTATTCTGCTCATGTGGCAACAATTGCCTCAAAATCGCCATGAAGTCCTTCGGTTTGACTGCCGACTCTTGATCTGGGTATGGCTATAGGTGAGACAAGCGGACATGTCAAAACATAAAACATCCCCTGGGGGTTCCTTTCCTTCCCACCTCTGCTCGTTTCTTTGGACCCCTTGCGGTTCTTTCACCAGCAAGTGGGTCAGAGCAACTGGATCCGATGGAAGCGAGGCCTTTCAGCCTCAAGGGGAGGGATGGGAGAGAGAGGGGGAAGAGGGGCAGGAGGGGCAGGAGGAGCAGTGCTGGGTGTGGAAGACGAGCTCTCACATGCATTTGATGACTTGAGCGTTCACAACAGCGGCCGAGGCCCACGCACTGATGAACCCGTGGTGGTGCTGACAGCTGGAGAAACCAAGGCAGCGTGGGGAACGAAGGTATCAGGGGGAATGAAGGCAGCAGACAGGCGCACGGGAGCATGGGGGAAGATGAGGAGGAGGAGGCGGAGGAGGAGGAGGAAGAGGAGGAGGAGTGGGTGGGAGTTGAGGTGGATGAGACGAGTGACCGCAGGGGGAGCTGCTGGGATTGGCGGACCCGTGGGCAACGAGCGGGCGGGAGAGGAGGAAGCTGGTGGAGGTGTGGGTGGGGGAGGTGCGCGCCACCGCTGCTGCTGCCATTGAGGCTGAGGTGGACAAGTATGCCAGGTATGGCCCGTGCTGGTGTGGTGTGAATTGCGGTGCTGGCGGTGTGAAGGGTGCTCTGGTGGTGGTGATCGCATTGGCACGCCTATTTTGATGAATGTGGGTTCCGGATGGAGGCGGTGCGCGCCACTGCCACCGCCACCGCCACTGTTGTTATCGAGGAAGAGGTGGAGAATCACTCGAAGAGTGTGTGCTGGTGGCGGTGGTGCTGGCGGTGGTGCTGGCGGTGGTGCTCGTGTTGAATGTAGGTGGTAGAGGTGGGCGGACGAGGTGGTATGTGCGCGCGTGTGTGTGTTTATGGCACGTGCAAGCTTTCAGGAAGGTGGGGGATTGCAGCGAGCTGAAGCAGGTGGAAAACGTGCACGTTTCAAAAATGGCATCAATGCAATGTTCTGGCTCGGTCACGTGTGTTCCCTGGTTTGCATGTGGCTTGCATGTGCATGTGAGTAAACGTGAAGGAAGGTGAGGGAGCGCAGTGAGCTACAGCAGGTGGAGGATCTGCAGGTGCTGAGGAGGGCGCAGGTTGTGGGCATGACCACGTCCGGGGTGGCCAAGATGCAGCGCCTCATCTCAATGTTCAGCCCGCGCATGATCATTGTGGAGGAGGCCGCTGAGGTGCTGGAGGCGCACATCCTCACGTCGCTCACTTCGCAGACCCAGCACGTCATTCCCATAGGTATGAGGGTTGTTGGGGTTGGAGTTGTATGCCAGGAGGCCACTGAGGTGTGGAAAGCCCACACCCTCGCCTCCCTCATCCCGCACACCGAGCAAGGTATTCTCATAGGTATGCCTTGGGCTGCTGGTGTGGTCAATTGTGTCATAGTTGTGGTTGCACAGCCTCTTCCCTTGGTAGCAGTGTGCTCGCAGCAACACGCCTCCACCTGCAGCTGCGTCCAAAGGTGGAGGTGTGTGAGCTGAGGACGGGGCTTATGGTGTTACATTCTCTTCTGAATCTTTGTGTGGAAATGGATGACATGCCACCACAGGCAGCTGCGCCCCAAGCTGAGGGTGACCGTGAAATAGCTATGCAAAGACTTCCTTGTTGGTCGCTCAAACTATTCATGAATTCCCCGTCCCTTTGCCTCTACTGATCTCCACTGAAACACGGTAGGCGACCACGTGGAGGTGCACGACCTCAGCAAGGATTCAAACAGGGGCTTCGACCTGGAGGTCTCTCTCTTTGAGCGCCTCGCGCTCTCCAAGCGCATCCCCGTGTACACGCTCGCCACCCAGCGCCACATGCGTCCGGAAATCGCGGATCTGATTTGCCACAGCGTCTACCCCGACCTGAGGGACCACCCATTCGTGCAAGGGTATGTAGCATGCATGCGGAGGTGCTACTGATGTATGTGTTGTCACTACAACTCCCACGTCACTGATATGATTGGATTGATTCGCCTCACCGTCTACTCCATCTGCTACACCGTCTGCCAACTGAGGGACCTTATGCCCCTTGCTGCAATGTAGCGTAATTCCTCTTTCCTCACAGCAGCACGTGCGTGGCACGGTGCTTCCTCCACCCACATTCATACAACCATTAGTCCATGCATCCATCCCTCCTACCCCTAACCCAGGTACCCGGACATGCGGGGAATGGCGGTGAATCTGCACTTCTGGGACCACGACAGCCCTGAGAGCGGCCGGGACAACCTGGGGGGAGGCAAGTCAAAGTCGAACGTGGGCGAGGCAGCCATGGTGGTGGGGCTGGCCACGTACCTGCTGCAGCAGGGGTACACGGGAGGGGAGATCACCATCCTCACGCCCTATGTGGGTCAGCTGCTCAAGCTGCGCCAGGCGCTTTCTCAGGTGGTAGATGTGCGCCTGGGGGAGGGCGATGCTGAGGAGGTGGAGAAGGCAGCGGAGCAGGCGGGTACCCGGGGAGGTGGAGCTGGCGGGGGAGTGGCTGCGGGGGAGACTGGGGGTCCTGGGGTGGCTGCGCCGAATCTGAAGGATGCAGTGCGGCTGGCTACTGTTGACGAGTATGTTTGGCCAGTGGAAAGGAGAAAGCTTCTGTTTGGCTTGGTCAATCAGAATATTGATAGTCTGGTTATCATATAGCCTGCTCATCTTATAGCGCGTGGTTTGTTGCGTGTGGTTCGGGCAGAGAATGAATGAGTGAGAATGATTTTCCGCTCATTTCTGTTGATGAGTGTGCAGCTTCCAGGGCGAGGAGAGCACGGTGATCATCATCTCGCTCGTGTGCCACAAGCCAGACGGTGACATCGGGTTCCTCAAGAGCCCCAACCGCACCAACGTGTTGTTCTCCCGCGCCAAGCACGGCATGTACATCATCGGTAAGTGCACGGCATGTACATCATCGGTAAGTGCACCGCATGTACATCATCGGTAAGTACACGGCATGTACATCATCGGTAAGTGCACGGCATGTACATCATCAGTAAGTGCACGGCATGCACATCATCGGTAAGTGCACGGCATGTATTGTGGCTGCAAATCACCATGAGGGCGACATTTTCCAAGAAAAGATAGACATGGTGCTGAGCAGGGAAAATTAGATCTCTTCATGCACTGGGCGAGGGTTGTTCACATATGCTGACATGGTGACACACATTCACTGCGCAAACTTACAATCTACTTCCTTGCTTGTCCCTTTTTCCGGTGTATCCACTATCCGAGAGCAGGCGGCGCCAGCAGCATGCGGGCAGCCACCTCCAGGTCCTCCCTGTGGCCGCGCATCATGGGCATGCTGGACAGCAAGGGGCGCGTTGAGAGGTTCATCCTGCTGCGCTGTGCGAGCCACCCTGACACGGTGACACACATCCACAGCGCGGGCGAGTTCAAGGAGAAGGCCAGCGAGGGCGGGTGCTCTCAGATGTGTAACTTTCGACTCAGTCCCTGCGGCCACACCTGCCCCCGCGGGTCAGAATCAAGCCATGAGCTCTAATGCCTTGTCTTTGTATTAGCATCACTATTTTCATTGCTCTTCAAGTCCCTTTGCCCTCGTGTTGCATCCTCTCTTCATGTTGTTAAGATTAGTTTTCCCTATGTTTGCCCTCTAAGGGGAAGCAAATGCTGCAAAGGTTCTTGTCGGCCTTTCTTAGCCCAAACAGGCGCCATGCCGATGACACGACACACAGTGATGTGGTCTGCCCCAGCAAGCGCAACAGACAGAATCTGGCTTCTGAAGGAGTGACCAGGCCACACCGGTACAAGTGTTGTACAAGAATCACAGCAAACCACTCTGTCGTTAATCCTCACCCACAGGTGCCATGCGGACGACAGGGCACACGCCACCACGTTTTGTGCCAAGGAGTGCAACCGCATCCGCCCGCTGGACGAGTGCTCACACCAGCACACGTGCCCCAAGCATTGTGGCGAGCTCTGTGGGCCGTGCATGGTCACCATCCGGGAGGTGACACTCCCCTGCGGCTAGGGATGAGCAAAAAAACGAACACCTGTTCGGTTTGCCTCGAACGTCCCCTTCTTCAGGGCGCTGAAGCGCTCTTCGATCTTCTGCTGGTGGGTTCAGCTTCCGCACCTGCATGGGTTCGTTCGCACAAGGCAAGCTATATGCCAGCTTTTCTCTTTTCACACCCTTTCCTGTCTCACATCTGTGCCTTCCTTCTTCTCACCTTTCCGTGCCTGTCTTTTGCCCTTGCATACTGGCCGCCCTTTGCCCGACTCCTGTCATGGACTGTTTCGTGCTGTTGCCTTCTCCCCACCCATACCTTCTCCCTACCCGTGCCTTCTCCCTACCCGTGCCTTCTCCCAACCCGTGCCTTCTCCCTACTCGTGCCTTCTCCCTACCCGTGCCTTCTCCCTACCCGCGCCTTCTCCTACCCGTGCCTTCTCCCTACCCGTGCCTTCTCCGTACCCATGCCTTCTCCCTACCCGTGCCTTCTCCCTACCCGTGCCTTCTAAAGAAAATAGATCGGTGAACTTAGGGCACGATAGGAAGAAGAAATATCCTTAGCAAGAAAATGGTACAAGTCTTAAAGACTAGAGCAAGGTCCTTGTCCAAAAATGATTCATAGTGAAGTGGGAAGCAACATATATGTGGCTGAATTATTGAGGCTAGCTGCAGCACCTCAATGCTGAGGGCAAGGCTAGCCAACCTTGCCAAGCTAGCAAGTGAGGCCTCATGTTGCACATGTGGGCCAAGCTGGAACAACAGCCGACATAACAGCATATGGCACACCATAGAGGCCAGCAAGGTGAGTGTGGGATTAGTGGACAGGTGGCAATGCCAACTGTGACCACACTTCACTATGGTGGAGTGTGGTGGAGTGTGGACATGTAATGTGGAGAATAAGGAGAAGGGAAGGTGCAGCTGCTGAGAATTGAACCCACGACCTCTAAGACCAAAGGTGAGAATCTACCATCTGGGACATACTTGCTGCACAACACCCCCCCTCAAGGATGTCCCTGGAGTAGGGTCCTTCAAGCGGAGACATGGGTGAGACCGAGAAGACCACGGATGCGAAGAAAAGGGTCTTGAGTAGGAACATAGTGAAGGGTGACAGAGTGGTCGGCAATATGATCACGAATGAAATGGTGCTTGATGTCGATGTGCTTGGCCTTGAGATGAAAGATGCCATCGTCCTTGGCCAGAATGATGGCACTGTTGTTGTCACACGAGATGCGAGTGGGGCCGGTCGGGGGAAGTCCAAGTGCCGTAAGGAAAGATCAAAGCCATAATGCCTCATGCACCGCGGCGCACAGAGAATAATATCCAGCTTCACATGAAGAGGTAGCGACGACAGCTTGACGTTTGGACTGCCAAGAGATAATTGACGGACCGAGGAAGAACAAGTAGCATGTAACGGAGCGTCGGAGCTCTCCCTCCGGTCCCCAAGAGGCGTCACACCACCCATGAAGTTCAAGGGCGTTGGGAATGCCACCAAAGAGAAGCCCGAGCAAGGTAGCCCCTTTCAAGTAGCGAGCAACGCGTTTGGCAGCCGAGACGTGAGGAATAGACCAATCATGAAGGTGACGAGCAAGAACTCCAGAACTTTATGCGAGGTCGGAACGGGAACCCACCATGGCATACATGATGGATCCGACAAACGAGGTGTAAGGAAAGGAGGAGTGTGGGGAAGAAGTCACGAACGGCTGAAACTTGGTGTCCATGGGGGTGGCAGCAGGGTCAAGTGGAGTAATGAGTAGGTGTCTAAGATGGAGGTGATGAATTTGGATCGATGAAGGTGGAGAGTTCGGGAGGTCCGATCACGAGTGATGTGAAAGCCAAGGTAGTAGGAAAGAGGACCGAGGTTACGAAGCTTGAAGCGAGATGAAAGGGCACACTTGAATGAGGAAAGAAGAGAAGAGGAGGAGGAAAGAATGATGAGGTCGTCAACATAGACGAGAAGCATGAAGAAAGATGCAGCTGTAGGCCGATAAGGAGATTGAGGAGGAGCGATGATGAGGCCGGGGTCCGCACTGGCAGCAAAAGGTGAAAGGCAGCAAGCTCTTCACAAAGTTTGCGGTACCAGCACCGCGGGCGCTTGCTTCAACCCGTGCAACGATTTGTGCAAGAGACAAACTTGCTCAACACCATGGACCGCCGAAAGTTCATAACCGGGAGGCTGCATCATGTAGAGAATTTCATCAAGAGTACCGTTGAGGAAGGCGTTGGAAATGTCTAGCTGATGGACCTCCAGGTTGAAAGCGGCAGCAATGGTGAGGAAGAGGCGGAGGGTGGCGAAGCGAACGGTAGGGGCAAAAGTGTCATGGAAATCAACACCGTCGCATTGTTTGAAACCTTTGACAACAAGGCAGGCCTTGCGGCGTTCAATAGAACCATCAGCATGCTCCTTGACCTTGAAAATCCATTTGCATGGAATTGGCTTGCGCATGGGTGGTCGAGGAATAACGCTGTAAGTGTCATTAGCATGCAGGGCAGCGAGTTCCGCATCAGCAGCCTTGATCCATTCAGCAGCACCAAGCCGGTGCGGGCCTCATGAATGGTTTGAGGTTCATAATGATGATGAAGGGCGGCACTAGCAGAGGTCTTGGAAAGAGGAGGAAGGTGAAGTCAATGGGTTCAGAAGGAGAGGGTAAGACCTTGAGCAGTGAGAAAAGTGAAGGATTGGAAGGAGCTGAAGGGGATGGTGGTAAAGAAATAGATATGCAAGGGGGAGGACGAGCAGAAGGAGAGGAGAGGGATGGAAGGCGGAAGTCTTGCGGCGTCGAGGGCAGAGGAAGGTTGGAAAACAAAGGAGGAGGAGGGGAGGTGGCTGGTGCAGGCAGATTTGGAGATGGTGGGAGGAGGGTGGTGGAAGAGGGCATGGGAGGTGAAGGAGAGGGAGGGGAGGTTGGGGCTGAGAGGGAAGGTGGTGGAGGAGGAGGCGGAGAGGATGATATGAGTGGTGGAGATGACGATCGAGGTTCTTGAGGGTCATCGGAAGGTGGCGAAGGGGGCTCCATGAAGATGACATCACGAGAAAGTGTGACACGCTGCTGAGATGGGATATAGCTGTGATAAGCTTTGGTGCCGTCAAGATGACCATACCCAACCATGATGCCGGCCGTGCTTCGGCCGTCGAGCTTAGAGCACCGTTGCGGAGGAATGAGGACTGAAACGGGTGAACCGAAGATGTAGAGGTGTAATACGTCCGGACGTGCACCGGTCCATAGTTCTATGGGAGTCTTAGAAGTTGAACCACCCCGACTAATGGCATGATTTTGGAGATAGGCAGCAGTGAGAGCGGGGTCACCCCACCATCCTTTGTCCATGTGTGCCATCTATAGTCCGATTGGCACGTTCAGCAACTCCGTTTTGATCGAGTGTGTACGGCGTAGAGCGGTGTCGAGCGATGCAATGAGCTTTAAGGAATGAAGTGAAGGCGTCGAAATTGAACTCCAAGGCACCATCGGAGCGAAACACATTGATGGTCCTTGGGGAATGCATATTGTGCACCCGAGTGATGTAATCTTTGAAGCATCAAAATGCCAGTGAATGATGACGTAGGAGATACACGGTAATGTGGCGGGAATAGTCGTCGATGAAGGTGAGAAGGTAGCGAGCGCCTCCAATGGTTGTTCCATATGAAAACGGTCCAGCAATATCTGAATGAATAAGTTGGAGCGGTGCTGTGGTGCGAGAATAGGACACGCCAAATGGTTGACGCGTTTGTTTCCCACGATAGCACGACATGCATTGGGGAATTGAAGAGGAGGAGGGGTTAATACCGGTGACCAGCTGCTGCCGATGAAGTATTGACAGGTCCCGCATGTTAAGATGCCCGAAACGGCGATGCCTAAGGTATGAGGAGGTGGTGGTGGACATGCCGTTAGGTTGATGCGGGGGGTGGCACTGCTCCCATGATGCAGCTGAAGATAAAACAGATTGTTGCGGGTAAAGCCCTCGCCAATATGAGCCTCATCAGTTTTGAGCTCAACCCGCTCTGCAGTGGGGAAGGAAACGGCAACGCCGGCAGCTCCAAGTGCATGAACTGAGAGCAGGTTGTGAACCGATGAAGGGAGAAACAGAACGTTGTCTAGCTGGATGGTGGTTTCCAAGGTTTGTGACCGAAGAGTAGCCACCACCGTGCCGACTCCCAAGACCTTGTAAGTTTCTCCACCACCAAAATTAACAATAATATCATCAGTTGGCTGCTGGAGAGATGAAAACAGCGAGCGATCGGAGCATATATGGGAAGATGCGCCGCTGTCCAGCAGCCAGGGAGAAGTCCGGACCATGTTTGATGAGGAGGCCGTGAATGCCGATGCGTAGGGAGCACCATAAGGGAAGAGGGGGAGGAGGAGGAGGATGGTGAAGATGAAGACAGCAGCGACAAGAGGAGTCCAGGTGGGGAGGATGGGGCGGTGGCTGGTGCTGAAAGCAATGTCAACGTACCGGGAATCAGGTATGGACTGAGGGGCTGATGGGGCAGTAGGTGTTGTGGAGGTCGAAGGGATGCCGGCGGAGGAGCTTGTTGACACATGCACCGAAGGCAGGATGACAGATTTCTCCCATCGAGAGCTTTCTTTGAGCTCTTTCTTCGTCTTCAAATTGAAGCGTTTGTCAATGGTGTGGCTGGTTTTCTTGCAGTAGCGGCAAGTAGGGGACTGGCGGGAACTGGAGAGAATAGGGTGGGAGGGCTGGGAATTGAGGTTGTATGCACCTTCCATGTTGCGGCTTGTACCAGATTGTGACCGCTCCCAATCGGCATCGAGTAGACGTAACTACAGGCATTCAACCGAGACTTCATGTCTTTAACGGTGCAAATAGTTTCTGTGAGAGTCTTAAAGGAGTCTGGCAGATTGAGAATGATGGAGATTACCACCACCCAAGATGGTAGCTCAAAGCTGGCACATTTGAGTTGGTGCGTGAGATTTCCAACTCAATCGAAGTAGGAGCGAAGGCTCATTGTTGGGTCCATCCGAGTAGTGATGAGATCTCGGAGGAGAGCCACTTGTGCATGGTTACCCATGCAGTCAAACCGCGCCATGATGCATCTCCACATATCATCCGTCGTGTTGGCTTGAGCAAGTGTGAACGAGAGCTGAGGATGGACGGATGACATGAGAAGATAGTATGCATGCTCCTCTTTTTCGTCATCTGGCAGCGACGCCATCGAATGGGCTGTTTTAGGGGCTGCACCATTGCTGCCTTCAGTAGCATCTCTACTGCTGGTTGTGGAAGAGGAAATGGAAGGGCGGGCAGCAACCTTGGGATCTCCAAGAAGGGAGATCAGCCCAAGGACATTGAAGATGTAGCAGATCTTTTTCTTCCATAAAATGAAGTTGGAACCATCCGGTTCCAAGATAGGAAGGGTGTGCCGTCCGAGAGGCGTCTCAACTTGAGCCATCAAGTGTGCGACGTTCACAAAGCTAGAAGCCTAGCTCTGATACCATGAAGAAAATGGATCAGTGAACTTAGGGCACGATAGGAAGAAGAAATATCCTTAGCAAGAAAATGGTACAAGTCTTTAAGACTAGAGCAAGGTCCTTGTCCAAGGATGATTCCTAGTGAAGTGGGAAGCCCAATATATGTGGCTGAACTCTTGAAGCTAGCTGCAGCACCTCAATGCTGCGGGCAAGGCTAGCCAACATTGCCAAGCTAGCAAGTGAGGCCTCATGTTGCACATGTGGGCCAAGCTGGAACAACAGCCCACATAACAGCATATGGCACACCTAGTACAATGTGAGCTAGGCTACGGGCTAGGCACGGGGCAAGAGTGATCTCTGCGTTCGTTCACTTAGTCGTTTACGCTTGCTTGCACTACTTGCTTGTTCACGGGGGAATTTGGCAAGAGTTTCACTAGCAAAAGTTCACAACAATGATAGCAACAACATTGGCATGCAAGACTACATCAGGCCGAGCAAAGCTGCACGTCGACCTTCAGCGCAACACGGTCGTGCCAGCACGACTTGGTCGACCGCGCTCCAGCAGAGCAAGGTCGCGGCTTGCCAAAGTTGCATGTCCAAGGCGTGCCAATACTGCAACAAGTCAGCTGCACAGCATTGCACCCGCAGGACAACGGTGCACCTGCTTCGCAGGTGTGAGCAGCTCCTTGTCACGAGCACAACGCAGACGCCTGGCAACCTCCACGCCAGCAACTGCGCCCACCAGCCACGTCGACCTCGGGATACCACCCCCGAAGTCGGCCTCGCACACTCCACCCCGGCGACACTCGCACACGTCGCCTGGGTATCCCGGTCGTCCAGGCAACCACGTCTGGTCGACCAGCTCGGTCGGTCGCAGACTGCACAGGCCCGGCGTCCCCAATGTCCGGCGCCCACCACCTCGGCGTCCTACTCCTCGTCGCCCTCCAGCTCGCGTCCCCCGTCTCCCCTGTCGAGGTCGACGTCGGCCCCTCCTTTATCGACCACACCGCCCTGGTTGACCACCAGGTTGACAACACTCATGGTCGGCCGGCTCCAAATCGACCAGCACAGCTGTCAGCCACCCAAGTCGGCTTCTCCAGGTCGGCGTCACCAAGTCGGCGCCCTACACAGGTCGACCTCCCAAGTCAACCTCCCCGAAGTAGGCGCCCCTCGAAGTCGGCGCACCCCGTGCAGGTCGACCAACCCCGTCAACCAGTCCGCCCACTTCTGCAGGTTGGCTGCTCCCCTCACACCCGACCACGTGGTTGTTAAAGACCAAGGACGGAGTCTATGAAGATTAGGTGCCTAAATTTCTCAAAATCGTTGGCTTAGAATTCTGGACAGAAAAGTCGCGCTCACAAGAAACGCCGTCGACAAAAAACGCACCGTTAAAACTTCACCAGTTTTGGATACGTTGTAGCTCTAGAGCGTAGCTACAATTCCCAAGTTGAATCGTATCAAGAGGTGAAGTATATCTTGACTTAAAAATTTCGGCGCACTAGGGGGTATGCTGTCATAGAATCTTAACTCGATCACAAGAGTCTCACAAGATTCACACAATAAAGTTAGAGTTGCTAGAAACCAGGTAGGAGGGGAAAAGGAGGACTAGGAGGAAGGTCCCCAAGGAGTCCCCAACTGGGGAAACCCCATAAGCACATCAAATCCCCTCCCACTTTTACTTTTGTCACTTTCCCAACCCATGCCATCCACCTTACCCAACTTGGCCACACTGGCCAACTTGGTTTGGCTCCTCCCAACCACTTGGCAGCATCTACAGTGATGTTGACGAATTTCCCAACCCTCAAAAGTCTATACCCCTTATGGAGTCAACCCCACAACTTCCCATAGTCACCACAACCAAACATCAAAAGTATACGAACTTCTAACGTTCGTAACTTTCTTGTTCGTGCTCCGATTGAAGCAATACTTGGTTCGTCGGAAAGCTCTTGAGCGGGGGAGTCAATTCAGATATCTGCTCAAGCCAAATAACATTCACATACACTCAGAAAAACCAAACCACATCAAACACAAATTCTTGCACACGCTCACACCACGCATGCAACGCACGAACATGTGATGGGGGGCAGACAGACGTGAATGCAATTGATAGCATCACATAACAGTGGTCGGCTCCGCCCAAGCGAGGACGGGCCACACCCAACTCCCGTTGACACCATGGAGGCCAGCAAGGTGAGTGTGGGATGAGTGGACATGTGGCAATGCCAACTGTGACCACACTTCACTGTGGTGGAGTGTGGTGGAGTGTGGACATGTAATGTGGAGCATAAGGAGAAGGGAAGGTGACCTTGAAGTACAGAGCTGGCCCAACGCCGACCAGCACGTCGTTGAGCGCCAAGTACCATAGCAGTGGCGACTGATTCAGCCCGTACAGGCTGTTCAGCAGCTTGCACACCCGGCTGGTTCTGTCGTTCAAGTAGTCCGGCTGGGATATGTACAGCACCCCGTCGAGCTTGCTCTGCACGAAGGCCTTCTTCATGTCGAGCTGCATCAGGTTGAGATCGAGGACGGCGACGATGCTGAGGAAGATCCTCAGCATGACGTAGCTGCCGACCGGCGCAAACATCTCGTCGTAGTCAGCGCCATACACATGGGCAAAGCCCTTCACGACCAGCTTCGCCTTCTCGCGCTCGACAGTGTCGTTGATGTGGTACTTCGTCGTCAGCATCCACCGGTTCTTCATGATGTTCACACCCGGCGGGCGTTCGACCAGCTCCCACGTGCCTATGTTGATGAGGCTGCGGATCTCCTCCTCCATGGCGGCCTTCACCGGCGGGCCCTTCCAGCTCGCCAACGCTTCCTGCACCGTCATCGTCGAGATGTTCCAATGGTGTTTGGGGTTGGCATGCATGTCGGGGTCGAGCTCCGAAAACTCCTCATCGTCCTTGGCGTCGTCGTACAGTCGGTCATCGTCATCCACGTTGTACACCGTGGTGAAGGCAGCGGGGACGAAGAAGTCGGGAGGCCTCCCAATTCAGCCTGACTTCTGAGGTCAAGCTAAACCTCCACCACATCGCTGTCGGTGGACTCCTCGGCGTCCCCCCCTTTGTCACCGGCTTTGCTGCCCTCAGTGACGTGCTGTTCCCCGGTCGGCGTCTCTGTCTACTACTCCCCTGCGGTCGGCTCCCCTGCCGGCTGCCTGATTGCCGACTGTTCCAGCGTCAGCTTGGCCGCTGCCTACTCCCCGGTCGGCTGCTGTTCTGCAAGTGCCTCCTTCGCTGGCTTCACCAAAGTCGGCTGCACCACCTGCTGCGTCCCGATCGGTGTCAGCTTCGCTCCTACACCGACTTGCAGAGCATCACATCGGCCACCGGCGATGGTTGGGGCCGGCGCCACAGGTGACGCCCCACTTCTCCTCTCATCGCCAGAGGCCGACGTAGGGCTCAGCCCATGCAAGTCGGCAACAAGGGGAGGGGCTGGTGAAGGGCCGGGAGTGGGGACGTCCTCACCTGCAAGCTCACCGTCCTCGGCCAGCAGAGGCAGCGTCGCCGTCGAGGTGTCCGTTGGCGGGTGAACTGGCGTCCGCCCTGACGCCGGCCCGTGCTCCGACTTCCACATCTCCAGCGACATGTCCTCGTAGAATACCACGTCCGACATGGTGACCACCCGGTTGTCGCTGATGTCAGGATTTCCCAGCCCTTGCTGTCCTCCGACACACCGGGATGAAGGCCCCACCGAGCCTTTGGCTGCAGCTTTCCACCACGCTGCTGCTTGGGGACGAGGAACTACACCATGCAGCCCCACGCGCGTGCGAGTGACAAGTCCGGCTTCTTCCCGATGAGCAACTGGTACGGCGTCGTCCTCGGCGGCAGCGTCGACCTCTCTAGGCAGTTGCGGATCCAGACAGCCTGTCGCAGAGCGAGGTGCCACCAGTGGTGCTGCACGCCCATGTGCAGCAGCATCGTTCGCACATACTCCACCACCGTCCTCATCTCCCGCTTCACCATGCCGTTCTACTGCGAGGTGTACGGGCAGGTAAGGTCGTGGACAATCCCCTTGCCATCCCCGAAATCGGTGAACACCCTTCCGAGGAACTCCCCTCCTTGGTCGGAGCGTAGCATCAGCACCGACTTCTTCACCTGCCACTCCACCAACACCAGCCACTTTTGGAACTCCAGCAGCACGTCCGACTTCTTTTCGACCGGCCGCACCCACACGTAGCGGGTCTTCCGGTCCTTCAGCAGCAAGAAGTGCAGGCTGCCGTCCTTGGCAGCCACGCGAAACGGCCTGCACAAGTCGATGTGCACGATGGCCAGCACGTCGTAGGCGTCGGAGCCCTGGTCCGGGAAGGTGTGCCGTGCCATCTTCCCGCCAACACAGGAGACATACGGTGAGTCGGCGCCCGACGCCGTCTTGAGGTCCAGCCCAGTGGCGACCTTGTGCTTCGCCGAGCTTCGTATGGTGTCCATGCCGACGTGCGCAAGCTTAGCACGTAGCCTGTTTGGCGTCGACTTCGTCGCTAAGACTATCGCCCGCAAGGCCACAACCTCCGTGGTGGGCGACGTCGACCTCGTCGAGCAGGGGCGCAGGTCGGTGCAGAGGACACGCCCGGTGTACGTCGCTCGACCGAGCACCTCTCCCGTCGCCGAGACGAGCAGCATCCCGTCGTCGTCCTCCTGCAGCTTAACGCCGTTCTCCTTCAGCTGCCCAGCCAAAAGTAGGTTCGTTCGCACACCCGGGACGTAGAGCACGTCGGGGATGAGCACCTGCTTTCCGGTCTCGCCTTGTAGAGCGACTGTGTAGCAGCCCTGGACGTCCTGTGGCACCCCATTGATGCCACGCATGTGCTTGACGTCGCTGCTCGGCTTCAGGTCGATGAAGGCCTCCTTCGTCCCCATCAGGTGGTGGGAGCAGCCGCTGTCGAGCAGGACCACCGCCGGGTTTGCCTGCACAGCTGCCGCCACAGCTTGGAAGTCCTCGCCAGCCTCCGGTGCCAACGAGACGGTCGGCTCCATGACGCCGACTAGCGAGCAGGACGCCGTCATGTCATCCCGCCCCTTGCCGCTAGCAGAGGAGTCGGCGTCCTTCGTCGAGGTCGAAGTGGTCGACTGCTTCTCCTTGCGCGGCTTGTTGCCTCCTCAACGAGGTGGACGGCTGCCAGACCTCTCTCAGCCTCCCTTGGCGTTGTCGTCCTCGGAGTCACTGTGGTCGGGGCACTCAAAGGAGAGGTGGTCGGGTTCGCCGCACAGCCAGCACTCCCGACGTCGACTTCCTCCTCCGCGGCCGCTATCCTTGGCCGACATCTTCTTGTCGGCGTCCTTGGACGGCTTCCAGCCACTGCTACCGTCGCCGCCAGACTGCACACGCTGCCCCGGTCGACCACCCTGCTTCACCGGGGCGACGTAGTTCACCTGCGCCAGGAGCTCCTAGGACCGCTCAGCCTCCTGCGTGGCTTCGTCCTGCAGGATGTACGGGGTCAAGGTATCCTGGTTGAGCGTCGCCCGCGTGCTCGGCGCCATTGACAGCCGCTTTAGTAGGTTGTAGCTGCTCGGGAGTCCCTATATGACGTGCGTGACGTATGATGCCGTCGAGTACTGTGCGCTGGCCATCCTGATGGTGGTGAGAGTTCGCCGAGCCCGGTTGCAGTAGTCGGTCGCGGTCTCCTGGTCGCTCATACGGAGGTGCGTCAGCTGCCTCTCAAGCTGGGTGATGAACAAGTCGCCGGTGACTTGGTAAGTCGACTCGATGAAGTGATACGCCCGGTGGCCGGCGTCGAGGTGCTACCTGCATGACTCCAGGGCGATCTGCAGGCCTGGTGAGCAGCACCGCGAGATGACAGCGAAGGTCAGCAGCTGCTCGGCGCAGAACTCCGCACGCAGGTCGGGGTCCTCCGGAGTCCCCACAGTGCTTCGAGCTAAGCTGATCAACCCGGCCATCTCCAGCTGGGGCTCGATGGCTTCCTTCCAGGTGAGAATGTCGGGTTGACCGACCAGCAGAGGAGTGACCAAGATCCTATCCGGCGTAGACTTGAAGAAGCCGTAGCTTGGCGCAATCCCGCCCGCCGTCACCTGGGACGCCGACATTGGCGATAGTCTGCTTCGACGCCCTCCAACGTTGCCCTGCGAGGAGCCTGCTGCCACCGCCGACTGCATTCCTCGCGCCTGAACGCCGCCGACTTCGTCGGCGTGAATCACACCACGCGGCCTCGACGCACCTCCCGCGCTGTTGCCGACTTGGCCACAACCGGCGTTGACGCCCACATCGACGCCGCCATCGTTGTTCACCGGTCGAGGAGAAGCAGGTCGGTGCTCCGTCGCCCACATGGTGCGGAGTCCAGCCTCAGCGACCGCCCAGGGAATCTCTCCGTACTCGTGGGCCTCATGGCGTCTCCTCGCATCCTCCAGCTGTGCCTCCGGGGTGTCCATCACCTCTGTGTCACCTACGCGCACGCTAGTGACTGCACGGCTGCCGGTCTGCAAACACGATAGGTCAGTGCAAAGTCGGCTAGACTAAACTACTTCGTGGTAGCGTCCACGCTCACCGCACCATGCGGAAATAACTAGTACAACTGGAGCTAGGCTACGGGCTAGGCACGGGGCAAGAGTGATCTTTGCGTTCGTTCACTTAGTCGTTTACTCGTGCTTGCACTAATTGCTGATTCACGGGGGAATTTGGCAAGAGTTTCACTAGCAAAAGTTCACAACAATGATAGCAACAACATTGGCATGCAAGACTACATCAGGCCTAGCAAAGCTGCAGGTCGACCTCCAGCAGCACGGTCGACCACGTGCCAGCACGACTTGGTCGACCGCACTCGAGGAGAGCAAGGTCGCGGCTTGCCAACGTTGCACGTCCACGGCGTGCCAACACTGCAACAAGTCGGCTGCACAGTGTTGCACCCGCAGGACAACGGTGCAACTGCTTCGCAGGTGTGCGCAGCTGGTTGGTGCGCCACTCCTTGTCACGAGCACAGCGTAGACGCCTGGCAACCTCCACGCCAGCGACTCCGCCCACCAGCCACGTCGACCTCGGGATACCACCCCTGAGGTCGGCCTCGCAGACTCCACCCCGGCGACACTCGCACACGTCGCCTGGGTATCCCAGTCGATCGGAAAACCACACCTGGTCGACCAGCTCGGCCGGTCGCCGACTGCACAGGCCCGGCGTCCCTAATGTTCGGCGCCCACCACCTCGGCGTCCTACTCCTCGACGCCCTCCAGCTCGGCGTCCCCAGTCTCCCCTATCGAGGTCGATGTCGGCCCCTCCTTCATCGACCACACCGCCCTGGTCGACCACCTCCTGGTCGGCAAGTCGACGCCATACACAGGTCGACCTCCCAAGTCAACCTCCCCGAAGTCGGCGCCCTCCCGAAGTCGGTGCCCTTGCAGTGACCCCGTGCAGGTCGACCAACCCCGTCGACCAGTCCGCCCACTTCTGCAGGTCAGCTGCTCCCCTCACACCCGACCACGTGGTCGGCTCCGCTCAAGCGAGGACGGGGCCCCACCCAACTCCCGTTGACACCATAGAGGCCAGCAAGGTGAGTGTGGGATGAGTAGACAGGTGGCAATGCCAACTGTGACCACACTTCACTGTGGTGGAGTGTGGTGGAGTGTGGACATGTAATGTGGAGTATAAGGAGAAGGGAAGGTGCAACTGCTGAAAATTGAACCGACGATCTATAAGACCAAAGGTGAGAATCTACCTTCTGGGACATACTTGCTGCACAACACCTTCTCCCTAGCCGTGCCTTCTCCCTACCCGTGCCTTCTCCCTACCCGTGCCTTCTCCCTACCCATGCCTTCTCCCTACCCGTGCCTTCTCCCTACCCATGCCTTCTCCCTACCCGTGCCTTCTCCCTACCCGTGCCTTCTCTCTACCTGTGTCTTCTCCTTACCCGTGCCTTCTCCCTACCCGTGCCTTCTCCCTACTTGCGCCTTCTCCCTACCCGTGCCTTCTCCCTACCCGTGTCTTCTCCCTACCCGTGCCTTCTCACTACCCGTGCCTTCTCCCTACCCGTGCCTTCTCCCTACTCATGCCTTCTCCCTACTCGTGCTTCTCCCTACCCGTGCCTTTTCCCTACCCGTGCCTTCTCCCTACCCATGCCTTCTCCCTACCCGTGCCTTCTCCCTACCTTTCCCTTCTCCCTACCTGTGCCTTCTCCCTATTCGTGCCTTCTCCCTACCCGTGCCTTCTCTCTATCCGTGCCTTCTCCCTACCCGTGCCTTCTCCCTACTAGTGCCTTCTCCCTTCCCGTGCCTTCTCCCTACCCGTGCCTTCTCCCTACCCGTGCCTTCTCCCTATCCGTGCCTTCTCCCTACCCGTTCCTTCTCCCTACCCGTGCCTTCTCCCTACCCGTGCCTTCTCTCTACCCATGCCTTCTCTCCACCCGTGCCTTCTCCCTAGCCGTGCCTTCTCCCCGTGCCTTCTCCCTACCCGTGCTTTCTCCCTACCCGTGCCTTCTCCCTACCCGTGTCTTCTCCCTACCCGTGCCTTCTCCCTACCCGTGCCTTCTCCCTACCCGTGCCTTCTCCCTACCCGTGCCTTCTCCCTACCTGTGCCTTCTCCCTACCCGTGCCACTTTCTTGCCCGTGTCGCATTCCTTCCCATGCCCCTCTCTTGCCCATGTCTATGTCCTGCCTGTGCCTATTTCCTGCCCGTGCCTATTTCTCGGTCGCCTCTCTTGCAATTTGATCCATCTCAAATGGTAGTTTCTGTGCTTCACAGTTCTCTTGCACATGCTGCTCTTGGTCGCACACTTCCCTCATATCCTCCCTTGACCCTTTCCTCGCTCGACTTCCCATGGCGGCAGGAAAATGGTGAAAGTGACAATGCCGCTGTGCGGTCACGGGCAGGAAGTCAGGTGTGGCGATGCGGCTGCCACACTCACCAACCCCAAGCGCTGCACGGCTCGCTACGGAGCCCTCCTCTCAGACTCCTGCGGCCACGCCTGCATCTCACCCTGCGGTCACTGCATCGTTGCCCCAGCTGCTAACACCGACCAAGGCCTGGGCTTGCAGCAGCACCAGCAGCGGTTGGAGAGAAAGCACAAGGAATGCAAACGCGACCTCCCCTGCGGTCACCTCTGTCGGGACCCCTGCCACCTCGACAAACCCTGTAAGCCCTGCGCCAAAAGGTGCCTCGTGGTGTGCCAACACAGTTCCTGCCCCCAACCCTGCCACCGGACCTGCTCCACGTGCGCCGAGGCTTGCGGGTGGAGCTGCAGGCACCAGGGTCGGTGCTCCCTGCCCTGCGGTGCCCCCTGCGACCGCCTGTCATGCGAGCAACGCTGTGAGAAACAGCTCATTTGCGGCCACCAGTGGCCGTCTTTAAGTGCCGAGAAGTGCCCTTCCCAGGCGTTTTGTACAGTGGAAGGGTGTGGGTCGATGAAGAAGAGGGAGATGAGAGTGGATCTCATCACATGGGAGACGCTGGGGGAGATTGATCCCAATGAGAGCCCTGTGCTCGTGCTGCCATGCCAGCATGCTTTCACCGTTGAGTCCCCAACGGCTACCTGGGGCTCAGCCAGGTCTACCAGGAGTTGAAAAGTGCCCTCGGGATAGGCTCCTAGGGAGAGCCTTCTTGTGCATTAAATCTACTCTGATGGTGACGTTGTTCGAGCAGTAGGTAGATCTTTTGGAGAGGAGGTTGACAATCTCTGTTGTGGTATTTGACATTTGCGTCTGATAAATACTTGCTTTCACAGAGCCAGTGAGACCTCCTCGTGGAACGATCCAGGTTCCTGAACTGCTGCTGGTTTGCTGGCAGGGGGAGGGCACCACATGCGAGTCGCGGCCGAACGCGCATGCCTTACTGTGCAGAAGTGAACTGGACTGAACTGAACCAAACTGAACTGAACTGAATATTGAACAAATGAGGTTGCATCGAGTCGCGCTCTTCAGGCAGGGTCAAATTAACCACAACGTAACGTAAGTTACCGATCTGAAATGCGCAGATAAATCACGCCACGGTGTGGAAAATTCAGAAGCAAAGTGCATTGCAGCGAGTCGCATACTGGCCAAGGCTGGCACCATGTGACGGCCCAGCCTGGCCTGATGCAAAGCGCCCACAAGTTCCCTCATGCACAATACAACAGCCATGAGGCGATTCCTTTGAGAGCATTCGATTTTGGTATTAGGGAGTGGTGAAATCTGGATTTATATTCTTCTCATATATGTACTTTCTTTCTCATCCCCCCTAATCATGGGTGTGGCCCAGGCAGTGCTGACTATTAAAAAAAAAACCAGTCTGAGGAAATTATACCGAAAATGACAAGTCACAAAAGGACAAGTATTAGTGCTGAGGTTTCACAAGGCAAAGTCGGACTTTGCTAGAGATCTTCCACTTCTGTACCCACCACTACTAAACAGCGCTGCCACTTTTGTACCGTGCACGTCGCAGCGCGAATGCACTTGACTGCTCCAGCATACATTCCTCCCCCCCCCCCGCTAAAATCGCATGGCTGTGGCAAGTTTCGCACGTTATTGATACGAAGCGACAATTTGGTTGCATTTCGTAGGAAAATGGGTGGCAAAATAGTACAAGCTTGTACAGGGTAGTGGGAGCTTATGTGTTGATATAAGCGAGAATCGTAGTGGATAGGAATAAGACCTGCTAAGTTGAAAGAAGACAATGAAGTCTTGTAATAACCTTGTCAATAATAGTTGAAAGATAACAAGATGATTTCAATACAAGAGTACAATGATATATTTAGCAATCCTAGCTAGCCAGGTACTCTGAGGGGTACATTCCCTTATTGACTGTATTGCATTGCTGTAGTAACAGTGATTATTGCTCTACTCGACAGTTACCAAGTTGAAGTGTAACCTCCGAGTATGGTTACTGGATAATCAAGAGTCACGACCGTTAACTATCAGCGACTGTTGACCTTCGGGTGACTCTCGAGCTGCCACGTGCTCTATATGAGCGTAACGCAAGTACAGGTGCGACACCTTGTTATGAAGCGATGCGCTTACCAAAACCTTCGGGAATGTTGCCATAACCATTGGTTATTCCAACTCCCCTTCATACCTGAAGGTGAGCCGCGTGGGATTTCTTCGAGATCCCACAGAGGTTGGTGTAGTGCTGAAACTTCAGACGTGATAGCTTCTTGGTAAGAAAATCCGCTGCCATTTTGCCAGTTGGGCAATACGCGAGTTTGACTTCGCCCTTGTCAATCTCGTCCTTGACGAAGAAGTAATGGAGTGCGATGTGCTTCGTGCGGTTCACAGAGCCGGGCTTGTTTGCTATTTTTATCGCGCTCTGGTTGTCACAGAGTAACGTGAAATGCATATTCATCGTCACTTTCGCTTTGTGCAAAAGCTCCATCAGGTACAGTCCTTCGTGAACAGCTGCGCTGGCGGCAATGAACCAGCTTCGGCTGACAAAAGGGCGACGAGCTCCCGCTTCTGGGAGCTCCAGGAGATGAGTCCAGCAGGTTGAAGTTGAACATGTGTAGGACCGTTGTCACCATCTCCTGCGCGGTGTACATAGCCGTGAAGCTGTAGAGTAGCTATTAAGTTGGCAGTGTAGGTGAGCCCAACGTCAGGGGCAGAGATGAAGTATTGAAGTGCTCGGCGTAGGTCCAGTAGATTCTCCCCTTCAGGTCGGCGTAGGTACTGTGCGAGCTGGCTTGCGACGTAGGAGAGATCCGGCTGGCACATGACGGTGGTGAACACTAGGCATCCCACTTGCTACTGATAGAGGCGATGGGTTTTTATTGATAGCGGCGTGGTGTCAGGTTCATGGTCCCGGAGGAGGAGTATAGAAGGGGGTGGTGAGGTTGATCGGAGCGATCGCAAATTTCTTCGCGAGCATTTCTGCGTATTTGGCAGCGGAGAGATGGACAGGGGTGGCTGTCTGGGTGATGTTGATTCCCAGGAACTGTATGACCTTGTGGTTGATTGTCACCTCCAGATTCTCCTTGATTCCTTCCTCGAACTGGTCAAGTAGCTCCCTGTCATCGCCGGTGTAGAGCAGGTCGTCGACATAGGTGACGAGGAGGATGAAATTTCTGCGTGATTCCTTCTAGTAAATGCCTTGGTCGTGCGGTAGCTGGATGAAGCCGATTTCGATGAGAATGGTACAGTGGCAGAGTCAGCTTCTTGTAGAAGATGCAGTCACGTAATTTCGTCACTTCGTGTGTCACGTAGTCCAGCACGATCCACGCCTTGAATTCTTTTTCAATCCCGAGGTGGATGCCCTAGCGTACCCGGTCAGCAAAATTTCCGGTCCTTGCTGTGTGGGGCCTTTACCGTACCATGCAACCGAACGCTTGAAGAAGATGCGTGCCAGCTTTCCTGCCCGTCCAAGCCTTGTAAGGTGAGGTGTTGTTCTCAAGGCTTCGAGAAGACTGCAAGTTGTGCAGCCGCACGGCGTGGTTCATCGAAACGGCCAAAGCTTCGTTGGGATGGCAGACTGCTATGGTCCCGCTTTCTCCCCTTGATTCACTCTAATAAAAGTCAGTTGATTGAGCAGGTGACTCATGGTATCTGGATCTGCTGCCATGTATGAATTGCGTAGGTGCTCCCACGACACTTGTGCAAGTGCCCACTCTGCTTTGTAAGAGCGGATGCCAAGTTGCTCGACAGGGGAGAGATTTCATAAATGAGTAGTGTACGCAGAAGTGACTCGTGGTAGTACCGGTTCTGCTCTTGGAGAGTTCCTTCCGTCGGGATAGGTAAGCTCCCGTCGTAGTACATCCAGATCTGCGCAGTTGTTGCGAGGAATTCAAACTCGAAGCTCCACGTGTAGAATCCTTTGCCGTCAAATGGGGTTGAAGTCTTCAGCATTGAGGCAAGCTTTGTTTGCATGGTTGCAATTGCCTCTCTTTGTGCGCGTTGTTGACTATCATGCGCAGGGGCTGAAGCTTGACGGTTGTCAAATGTGAATAATCTCTTGGAGTTGATATGGTGGTCTTCTCCTTGGAGAGGCAGTCTAGCAACTCCTCTGGCATAGCTTGAGCCATCGATGCTTATTGCTTCATGGCTCTCAAGAACGTTGAGCAACGAGTTGGTCAATGAGGGCGGCGCTGACGGAGGTCACCACTGAAGGCGCATTATTAGGTTTTCCTTCAGGAGCCATTGTGATGCAAACCTGTAATAAGTGTTTTAATGAAAAAGTTTGAAAGGAGTTCGTTCTGGGAAGAACAGGAACTTGTAATCCACTCCAGCTCTCATAACCGGGAATTGTTGTGGATAGGATAAGACCAGCTAAGTTGAAAGAAGACAATGAAGTCTTGTAATGACCTTGTTAATAATAGTTGAAAGAGAACAAGATGTTGGTTTAGATAAGTGTACAAGGATATAAACAGCAATGCCATGTACCCCAATGGGGCACAATCCCTTACTAATTGTATTGCATTGCTACAGTAACCGTGATTATTGCTCTACTCGACAGTAACCAAGTTGCATCATGTAACCTCCGAGCACTGTTACTAGAGAGTCAACAATCGCGATCGTTGACTATCAACGACTGTCGGCCTTCGGGTGACCTCTTGAGCTGCCGCGTGCTCTACATGAACATAACGCGAGGCAACGCCTCGTTATGAAGCTATGCGCTAAGCGAAACTGGCTGGCGGCTGGCCAGTGTCGTAGCCGCTGGTGATCATGGGCACGCATGTGCGCACCGACCAAGTAGGTGCAGATAGACGGTTGCGTGCACGTTGTGCGCCATCACACACATTGCGCAGGTGCTAGGTCGTTGAGCACGTGATGACCCGCAAGTGAACTTTGCCAAAACCTCATTGGGAGAAGTTCGCGCACCCCCACATAACATCGCAGATTAGTTACTTGGTCGACCAGAAGAGGCCACAAAACCGGTGTCGACTTGACGGCCGGTTGACGCCCGCAGATTGGCGTCATGTCGACGAACACCTACGTCGACCACCGAGGCTCGACGTCGTACGCCCACTTCGTCGGCGTAGGTGTCATCGTGCTGCACTGAAGTTGGCCAACCATGCCCACCGACTCGCTCCTCCAAGTCGCCGCCGTCCGCCGACTTGCACCTCGGCGGCCTACGTCTCGCTGGATTCGGTGAAGTCGGTTTCGCAAGAGTCGGCTTCGCCGTTCGTTGAAGTCAGGTTCGCAGTGGTCCGCTTCACCAATGTCGGCTCCACCGAGGTCGACCAGCCAAGCTGACTTGTTTGACCAAGTCAATGTCGACCACAAGCCTAGCCAGCTATGAAGTCGTCTTCGCCCAAACGAGAGCGGGGCCTTTTCTCATCAACAGAGGATACGCAAGGTCCGGTCGAGTACACATTATCAGGTACATGAGGCAACCCCATAAGCTCTGCGT